GAAACATATAACCTATCCAGGCTGTACCATGAATAAATCAGAAATTTAAACAGAGCAATAATGTATAACAGCTTCCCATCAAAGAAAAGCCCAGGACCACAGTTTCATGGCTAAATTCTACCGTTTAAGGAATAATTAACAACAAACCCTTCTCAAATTATTTTCTGTAAAAATTAAAGAGTAGGGAACACTTGCAAACTCATTTCACAAGGCTGGTATCACTCTGACCAAAATGAGACAAAGATACTACAAGAAAACTAAAGTATAAGTCAATACATTGATAATCATAAATTTTTAACTAAAACTAGCAAACCATATTCAACTATACATTAATGCAGTACATTCACCATGATCAAGTGAGAATTCTCTCTGAAAAGCAAGGCTATCTCAACATATGACAATCAATAAGTGTGATTCACCATATTAACAGAATGAAGGGCAGAAACCATAAGATGATCTCAATAGATCAAGAAAAGGCATTTGAAAAATTCAAATTCTTTAAGACTCAACAGATAAGGTAGAAAAGGAACGTTCCGCCTTACAATAAAGGCTACATATGACAAACTGATAGCTAACATTATACTCAACAGTGAAAAGTTGAAGACTTTTCCTCTAAGATCAGTAATAAGATAAGGATGCCCACATTCACCACTTTTATTCAATATAGTACTGGAAGACCCAACCAGAGCTATTTAGAAAGATAAACAAAAGACATCTCAATAAGAAAAAATGAAGTGAAATTGTGTTTCCTGATGCCATGATCTTATATATAGAAAATCCTAAAGACTATACAAAGAATATCAGAATTGATAAACACATTCAGTAAAGTTTCATGATATAAAATCAACATATAAAAATCAGTGGTGTTCCTTTTATCTTTAATAAAGATGAAAATGCATGCTTTTTTTAATCTTCACTTTCCCAAAGTATTAAAGTATTAAGATGTTTCTCAAAACCAAAAACAAAACAAAACAAAATCAGTGGTATTCTTAAACATTTAAAAAATTTGATTATAAATTTTAAAGTTTTGGGGCTGGGGCTGTAGCTCAGTGGTAGAGAGAGCACTTGCCTAACATGGGTGAGGCACTGGGTTCAATCTTCAGAACCACATACAAATTAAATGAATAAAATAAAGTTTTAAAAAAATTTTAAAGCTTCATTTACAATAGTAAGTGAAATAGTAAAAGAAAAAATTACTGCTAAGTACATTTTATTATATTTATTGATGCATTATACTTTTACATAATGGTAGGATTAGTGGTAACATGCACATTTGTACATGCAGACAATATAACAATATAATTGGGCCTATCTCATTCTTTGGTATTACTCCTTTCTCCTCCTCCTTCCCCCTGGTTCCTTTCCTGTTCTCTACCAATCTCCTTTCATTTTTCATGAAATACTCCATCTACTTTTCTTTTCCTTCTTCCTCTCTAACTCCCCAAAATGAGAGAAAATATTTGACCCTTGACTTTCTGAGCTCGGCTTCTTTCACTTACCATAATGTTATCAAATTTCCTACAAATACCATAATTTTATTCTTCTTTATGGTTGAATGAAACTCCATGAGGTATATATATCAATTTTCTTTATCCTTTTATCCATTGATGGACATTCTAGGCTGGTTCCATAGTTTGGCTATTGTGAATTGTGGTGCTATAAACATGAGTATGCATGTGTCTCTATATTATGCTGACTTTAATTATTTTGAATAAATACCAAAGAGTGCTATGGAGGGTCATATGGTGGTTCCATTCTTAGCCTTTTGAGGAATATCCACACTGCTTTTCATAGTGGTTGTACTAATTTACAACCTTACCAAGAGTACGAAAGTGTTTCTTTTTCTCTACAACCTTTTCAGAATTTATTAGTTTATATTCTTGACTACTGCATCCTAACTGGAGTGAGATAAAATCTCAGTGTAATTTTGATTTGCATTTTCCTAATTGCTAATGATGTTGAACATTTTTTTTTCATATATTTATTGACCATTTGTACTTATTCTTTTGAGAAGTGTCTGTTTAATTCATTAGCCTATTTGTTAACTGGGTTGTTCCTTTGGAGTTAAATTTTCTGAGTTCTTTATATGTTCTTAATCCTCTGTCAGAAGAGTAGCTAGCAAAGATTTTCTCCCATTCTGTAGGTTTTCTCTTCACATTCTTATTTGTTTCCTTCACTGTGCAGAAGTTTTTTAATTTGACACTATACCATTTATTAACTTTTGGCAGTATTTCTTGAGTCTTAGGGACCCTAGTGGAGAAAGGTGCTGCCTGTTCCTATATGTTGGAATATTGGCCCTATATTTTTGTCTAGGAATTGCATAGTTTCTGGTGTAATTCTTAGGTCTTTGATCCATTCTGAGTTGACTTTTTGAGTAAATTTTACCATGTGAGTGAGATATCTGTATATTGAACATATAAAACATTGATGAAAGAAATTGAAGATGATATAAATGAATAAAAAAATGGCCAATGTTCATAGATTGTAAGAATTAACATTGTCAAAATGTCCGTACTATTCAAAATGATCTTCAGATGAAAGGTAGTCATTATTAAAATTCCAATTTTGTTCTTACAGAAATAGAAAAAAAATCCTGAAATTCATATGGAACCACAAACTACCCAAATAGCCAGAGCAATGTTGACCAAAAAGAACAAAATTGGGTACTGGATTTAAAACAAATTACAAAGCTATGGAAATCAAAACATCATGGTCTTGTTATTTGTCCACTGGGATAGGAAAGAGAACCCAGAAATAAATGCATATACCTATAGTCAACTGACTTTTGACAAAGGCACAAAGAATACACACTTTTCAATAAATGGTGTTAGTACAACTGGCTATACACATCAAAAGAATGAAAATGGAATCTTACATCATCCACTATATAAGGATCAACTCAAAATGAATTGAAAACCTAAATGTAAAATCTGAAACGTACAAAACAAGTAGAAGAAAATATAGGGGGGAAAGCCCAATGACAATTGGCCTAGGCAGAAATTTCTTAGATCTGGCCCTGAAAGCACAGGCAATGAAAACAAAAATAGAAAAATGGGATTTCATCACATTTAGAAACTTCTTCAAGCAAAAGAGGACACAAGTAGGGCTGGAGATGTGGCTCAAATGGTACCACACTCGCTTAGCATGTGTGAGGCACTGGGTTCAATTCTCAGCACCACATAAAAATAAAGATGTTGTGTCCACCTAAAACTAAAAAATAAATATTAAAAAAAGAGGATACAAGTCATGGAAAGGGAAAGAAATACTTAGAAATTATACATTGGAATAGGAGCTACTACCCTAAATATTCAAAAACAAAAAGAAAAACCCATTTAATAATGAGCACAGAAATTGAATAGAAATTTTCTCAAAAGAAGACTTAGAAATAGCCTACAGATATTTTTTAAAATTTTAATTTTAATTTTAAATTTTGTAAAAATACTCAACATCTCTACTCATCAGAGAAATGCAAACTAGGACCAGAAGGAGCTATCGCCTCATACCTTTTAGATTGACTATTATAAAAAACACACAAAATATTGGCGAGAACATGGAGAAAGGGGAACTCATACATTATTGGTAATATTTTCAAGTAGCACATCCATTTTGGAAAACAGTAAGATACTTCCTCAAAAATTTAAAAATAGATCTACCATATGATCAAGCAATCCCACTATTGGATATAGCTGAAGGAATTGAAATCAATTATACTTAAAAGATGTCTGTACTCCCATATTCATTGCATCATTATTCATAATAGCCAAGATATGGAAACTATGTAAGTGAATAGGCTTTTAAAACATGGTATATTAACACAATGGAATATTATTCAGCCTTAAAAAAAACAGGAAACTGTCATTCATGAAAACATGGATGAGCCTAGAGGACATTATGTTAAGTGAAATAAGCCAGGTACAGAGAGACATATACCATATGATCTCCCTTATTTGTAGAATCTAAAAAAGTCAAACTCATAGAAGTAGAGAGTTAAGTTGGTGGTTACTAGTGCCTGAGGGCAGGAGCAGGTGGAGAGGGAAAGAAAAGTCAAAGTTAAAGTTGAATAGGAGGAATAAATTTTGATGTGCTATTACACAGCAAGGTGATTATAGTTAAATAATAATGTATTGTATATTTCAAAATATCTAAGAGAGGGTTTTAAATGTTCTCACCACAAAGAAATGATAAAAATACAAGGTGATGAATACACAAATTTACTTGAATTGGTGATCTCACAGTGTATAAATATATCAAAACAACACCATAAATATAAGCAATTATTATTTTTCAACTAAAATTTAAAGCTTAAGAAAATAAAATTTGATATAATTCAAGATATACAACATGATGATTGATATAAATACATAATTGTGTGATAGTTAACAAACTAATTAACACGTCCATCACAACCCATCATTACCATTTATCTGGTAGAGGGGAACATTGCTTCCTTTAGGAAAAAGGTCAGTACATTAGTTAAACTTGAGAAATAAACTCTTACTATGTTAACTACAGGGTGTTTTACTACTTTCATTTCTGCCTAAAAAAAATATACAACAAAGGGTTGGGGTTGTGGCTCAGTGATAGAGCACTTGCCTAGCATGTGTGAGGCCCTGGGTTTGATCCCCAGCACCATATAAAAATAAATAAACAAAATAAAGTATTGTGTCTATCTACAACTAAAAATATTAAAATATATATATACACACACACAACACTAAGTATTATAGTATGTATGCTAGAAGGTATTATTAATCTCAAGATAGGAAATTAAATATTTATTCTCTTAAAAAGAACATTACCTTTGACTTAAAATTTAAACATGTTAAACCTGGTAACATATAACAGAAGGTAACAAAATTTACTTATCCTAATTAAAGTGGTTAAATAGACTACCATCCTCCAAAAAGAGTAATTTCATTACTTTAATAAAACTCTGTGAACAATTGAGTAATCAGATGAATTTGTTGTGCAAAGCAAGTCATTCACATAGGTTTACTTACATTATAGTCAGCTTCAGGAAGTTTAACACCAGGAAATAAGTCACTAGTTATGCCATTAAATAAAGGTATGTCATGTGACATAAACTTTGGTTCATTCACATCTTTAATTGATCGAAGAAGCTAAAATCACAAAAAAGGACAAAATAAGTTAATTGCCTACATTTATTGTTCCATTCCACCCCTCTAACCAAAATTTTTCTCCATGGAATTCCCAAAGTGAAAAAAATAAAAATAATTCTATGCTTATCAAGCCAAAAGGTCCTTGTATTCATATAAATAATAATAAACATAACCCAAAACTATAATTTCAACCCCACATAGAAAGACTTGAAGCAATACCTGCCTTACTTGCCTCTGCATCGTTCCTGACTGATCTCACTAAAAAACTTTTCTACTGAAAATTTCACAGTATATTTAGATGTATATAAATATTTAATACTTACCAATATATCTTCATTTTCATTTGGATATTTTAGTTTTAGGTTTCCAGCAGCCACTAAAACTGCTTTTACTGCTCGCATTCCATAGTCATAATGAAATTGCGATGAGAGCTGCTCTGAGCAAAGTCTGTAAGTCATTACTATCTTCACAGACAGAGGTTTTGCATTCAAAAATCCATAGGAGTAGAGGGAAATTTCTGCTATAAGGGCATAGTTTGGAACCATCATAGCCACTGTTCTAAAAAGAACCTGGAGTATATAATAAATAAAATATTTACATAATATAAACCATTTTAAAAACTAGTTATAAGCATTCAAAGAAAATGTGTTGATATTCAAGTTTATTCCCCCATAGCAACACATTTTCATAAAAATATTAAAGCGCTACTGAAAAAACAATTATAGTTTATGTCCTTAGTATCTTTTGTATGTCTAAAAAAATTATTAGAAGCATACCTTATATCAAATGGAGTTAAAATGGAAATAACAGATACATGGGAAGAATGTTAATATTTTGAATATTGTGCTATTATTTATGATTAACAAACTTAAAACTTTAACAAATATTACCTTAAGGTTGTCTGGCAATTCAGAACGCCCTGCATAGCCAGGATTCATGGTAATAGCTACAAAACAGTTTGGATTGAGCTTAAGTTCTGTCCCTTCAAAAACAAACACTTCCAACTTCTGTTGAATGGCTCTCTGAATGCAAAGGATCTGTTGAGCCACCACTGACAACACCTCCAACTCAATTCGATTAAATTCATCAAAGCAAGCCCAAGCACCAGAAGAAGCCAATCCTTTAAAGAACTAAGGAAAAAAAAAAAAAAGAAAGAAAAATAGAGGTGATTTTTCTTAGGAAATGTCATCAATATATATGTTCTTCTCTTCTTGGTACCAAGAATTGAACCCAGTAGTGCTTAATCACTGAGACATACCCCCACCCTTTTCAATATTTTATTTAGAGACAGGGTCTCACTATTTTGCTTTAGAGCCTTGCTAAGTTTTTGAGGCTAGCTTTGAACTTGTGATCCTTCTGCCTCAGCCTCTTGAGCCACTGGGCTTACAGGAGTGTGCCACTGTGCACGGCAGAAATGTCACCAACTATTAAAACAAATGTTTAACCTTTTGAGTAAAAGTTGAAAGCTCAGTTTGATAAAAGTCCCAAGAATAAAAACAACGTTTTTAGCTCTAAAGCCAACATTCAAGAAATGCTTAACCCACACTGCAATAGTATTTATATAAGTCTGCTTCAGTTTATCCAGTTAGACTTAAAGCTACAAAGTTTGGAACATTTAATATTACCAACTCAGTAAATGAATCACCTTTCCCATTGCTAGATAATCTAGCCCATCTGAACAGTTGAATACCACACACTGTACAGCAAGAGCTTTAGCCAAGTCCTTGGTAGTTTCAGTTTTTCCTGTGCCTGCTGGTCCCTCTGGAGCACCTCCAAGGTTTAAATAGAAGGCACCTATCTGAAAAGGAAAATATATATGAAAAGGAAACTATGCATCACCAAAAACAAACAAACAAATAGATAATTGCTTACCAAATGGATTTATTCTTAGTTATAGCTTCAGAGAAGCTGGTTATATATTTTATTGTTGTTACTTTTATTTATTTATTTTGTATCAGGGATTGAACCCAGGAGTGCTTTACCACTGAACCACATCCCCAGCCCTTTTTTATTTTATTTTGAGAAAGGGTCTCACTAAGTTGCTGAGGGCCTTGCTACATTGTTGAGGCTGGCTTTGAACTATGATCCTCCCACCTCAGCCTCCGGAGCCACTGGAATTAGAGGAACATGCCACCATGCCCATTGTGTTCAGTTACTTTTTAGCATAGAAGTTTCTGGTTGCAAAAAGAAAAGCAGCTTAAAATACCCAAGAAGAATGAAAATGCATCAAAATCTTGTTTTCTAATATTTCATATGTATCCCATTTACCTTTAAAAACAAAGAACATCTAGCTTTGAAGGGGTAAAATTAGTTCAAAAAGGTTTTAATTAGAAGTTATGGAGATGACTTTAGAAGACAATAGTGACACATTCTAGATGGTCAGTTGAAGAGGACAATCACCTGAAGTGAGTACTGTTTGAAAGAGAAACAAATGAACTATTCTACAAATTTTGGCCATGATTTGCCTGGCTGTTGTCTTCTGTTCTCTATACGTTCTCCATTTTCTCCATGCCCATAGCACTGTTCTATACTTCTCTTACCAGTTCTATTGTTTTTTGCCTTGTAATGTTATTACATACACTCTTTTTCTCATAAATTAGTATTTAAGCTCCTTAAGTAAACATCAGCAGTATCTGAATTATTTCTGGGTCTTTACATTAATTAGAACAGCAACTGGAAATTTTTAGCATAGAAATTACAGCCTGTTCTAATTATGGAATTTGTTTCACAAAAATCACCACAAGAGTTTGTGAAACTTAACTCCTTTTAGAAAAAAATAGGGTTAAAGGATCAAGATTGTAAATTTGGGTGTACAGGGGAAATAAAAGAGCCCTGTACTTTCCATTTAATTTCGCTATAAACCTAAAACTGCTCTAAAAAGTGCAGTCTATTTTTAAAATAAATCCATAAAAATGATAAACTTTTTTACTTTTACCAAAAAACCAATAGAGATAGCTAAGTAAATAAAGTCAATATCAAAGATATTATACTTGTTTTAAATTTATAATGGATGTTATACCATTAACTTAATTTCTGGGAACCTTGGCCTCTCCCCTCAACTTCAAGAAAATGCTCACAAGTATGTTCTTTTTATTTTATTTATTTATTTATTTATTTTGATTGTACACCTATTATTTTCTCTTTTATTTACTTATTTTTGGTTTTGGTTCATAAATTGTGATGCTTTCTTTGTTCTTAGGAATTCACATGATTGAGTTGCTATATTCTTTTTTTTAATTAGTTACACATGACAGTACAATGATCTAGACATATCATACATTTGCATCATATGGGATATAATTTCTTATTTTTCTGAGTGTACAGGTTGCAGAATTACATTGGTCATGCAGTCACGTATATACTCACAGCAATAATAATGCCTATTTTATTCAGGTAGCTTGCTGAAAAAACAGAGGGTTTGGTGAAAGGTTTTATCATAGAAATTACAGTCTGTTCTAATATCATAGATATTATCTAATATCATAGACCTTTTAGAATCTCATCCAAATCCCCCTTTATCAGGTCATTACATTCGCCTCCCATTTGCTGTGAAATCTTGGTTGCAAATAGCTCAGAGTTGCTTTTTTCTCCTAAGAACTGTCCTCAACTTGCTCTCCTATTGGAACTACCTCATCAGCAAATACTGGAAAGCTTACTCATTCCTTTGTCCCAGAGGTGACTGACCAACGACAATAAAGGGGTACAAAAGCCAGATCTTATTGCCTTAAAGTAAAGTAACTCATGTCATTCATGCTTCAAAGCTCCCCTTGAGATCCTGCTATAACTATCCATTGCTCAAACCACTTCTTCATTTAATTTTTCCCCAGCCCAAAACTGTTGCCCTCATTTCCTTACAGATTTTTACTGAGACCATTCCCTAAGAAATAAATCATTTGCACAAGTATCTTTATTTCTTCTCTGCTTCTAGAGAAGTCAATAGAAGACACCTTCATTTCACTTACATATGTGGATTGGTATTCCTTGATGTTCCTCTTCAATTCCCAGGTTGGGTTGCCAGATTTAGCACAGAAAAATCTGAAATGCCTAATTAAATTTAAATTTCAGATAAATAATAAATAATTTATTAGTATTACAAAAGTATGTCCCTTGCAATATTGAGGACATACTAAAAAAATTACAGTCATGCATCATATAATGATGTTTCAGTCAACGGTGGACTACATAGATGATGATATATACAACACACTTTAGATAAACTATAGCATCTAGTTTTGTGAAAGCATATTCTGATTTTTGCATGATAAAATCACCTAATGATGTATTTCTCAGAATATATCTCTATCATTAAGTGACACATGACTGTCTTTGTTATTTGTTTTAAATTCAGAGTTAACCTGGGAGTAAACCTGGCAACCATATTCCCAGGGTTTTAACAGTCATTGTTCTATCTTCCATAGCTTCACAACTAAGCACAGGCCTAACTAAGCATAATCCCCTATATGTAAGCTCTGTCCTTCCTATTGAGTCGCACTAAGTTGGAGTTCCAGGACCCAAAGGTACTTTTCTCATCTTTCTCTCATCTCTCCCAGTATCCCACTATAAAAACTAATACTATTTTGTGAAGCTTTGGCTTTATTTTTATATTTTCAGTCCCTCCCTTTTTCCTAATTATTCACAATGGAAGAGACTCACAACTTCTATACATTAGAATAAAAACATTCTTGTATGCTATAAAAGTACCCAGAAGTAATTATTTATTGCCATAATTTCACATAAAGAGAATTTGGGATTAAGAAGGGATAATTGTATTCAACTACTACCAGTAAAACAATAAATGAAGAGAGCCATATTAAATTTAGACAAAAAAAGTTGACACCTCACTGAAAAGTAATTTTAATGTATGGATTAAAATAATTTAAATGCAGGCCAGGTGTGGTGGCACACACCTGTAATATCAGTGGCTCAGGAGGCTGAGAGAGGAGAATCACAAGTTCAAAGCCAACCTCAGCAACAGTGAGGCGCTAAGCAACTCAATGAGACCCTGTCTCTAAATAAAATACAAAATAGGGCTGGGGATGTGGCTCAGTGGTCGAGTACCCCTAAATTCAATCCCCAGTACCAAAAAAAAAAAAAATTAAATGCATACCAATGTTCTGTAACACCTGTCAGTTAGAGGAGTAATGACAAGTCGAGGTGAGTTACCAAGATATTCATAAGCATATTTTACGTCACAATTAATGATACGAACTCGAGCATTCTCATATTCCCAATAATAACGAAGCTGAGCAAGCCACTGGAAATCTGTATCATGTGAGACACCTAGAAAGAATAAAACACATAATCCTTAAATGAAAATAATTCGAAAAACAGTATTTTATCAGCAAATATCAAACAATTCACGTTTTCCAACTTATAGAAAAGATCATGCAATTCTGTTGAAAAAGACATACAGTAATAAATCTTTATTCCTGAAAGCTATAAATATTTTTAACTTTAATATTAAAGGAAAAAGTCAGCCTGGGGTTGTGGCTCAGTGGCAGAGTGCTTGCCTCGAATGTATGAAGCACTGGGTTCAATCCTCAGCATGATGTAAAAATAAATGAATAAAATAAAGATTAAAAAATTATGTTCATCTACAACTAAAAAAAAGATTTTTAAAAATATTAAAGGAAGAGGGGCTGGGTTATGGCTCAGCAGTAGACCACTCGCCTAGCACGGGCGAGGACCTGGGTTCGATCCTCAGCACCACATAAAAACAAATAAATAAAACAAAGTATTGTGTCTAACTACAACTAAAAATAAATATTTTTTAAAAATATTAAAGGAAGAAGTCACAAACCTGTTTCAATCATGTCCATGACCACATCTCTAGCATGGACATCAATTGTAACTAATGCCCCCAGAGTGATCCTGATCTGCTTAGACAATTTTCCTCTTACCAGCTCTACAATATCATTTAGTTGATTCTGGAGTTCTGTATAGTACTTCTTTAATCCCTACAAAATAATAAAACAATTTAATGGATTTTATATGCATTACCTAAATCTATATTTTATATATTTATTCATTTACAAAAGAATTATGACTTCATAATCTATCCCATATAGAAATACATTATAGGGGGGCTGGGGATGTGGCTCAAGCAGTAGCGCGCTTGCCTGGCATGCGTGCAGCCCAGGTTCGATCCTCAGCACCACATACAGACAAAGATGTTGTGTCCACCAAATACCAAAAAAAATAAATATTAAAAATTCTCTCTCCCTCTCTCTCACTCTTTCTTTAAAAAAAAAAAAAAAAGAAATACATTATAGGGCTGGGGTTATAGCTCAGTGATAGAGCACTTGCCTAGCATGGATAAGGCACTGAGTTTGATCCTAAGGACCACATAAAAATAAATAAGATAAAGGTATTGTGTATACCTACATCTAAAAAAAAAAGTTAAAAAAAGGGATACATTATAGAGTGGTTTTTCTCTAAACCCAGTAAAAGAATAAGTTTTCTAAGAAATATATAATTTAATACTATATACAGAAATTTAGGGAAGTATTGCCTTTGCAAAGAATAGACAAACAGCCAGGTGCAGTGATTATAGGTGCAGGCCTGCAATCCCAGCAATTTATGAGGCTGAGGCAGGAAAATTGCAAGTCCAAGGCCAGCCTGGGCAACTTAGTGAGAACTTGCCTTAAAATAAAGAAATGCTGACTATGTAGGTTAGTGGTAGAGCACCCTTGGGTTTATTTCTTAGTACTGAAAAGAGAGAGAGAGAGAGAGAGAGAGAGAGAGAGAGAGGGATGAAAAGGGAGGGAGGGAGGGAGGGGGAGGGAGAGACACACAGAAAGAGAAAGAAACAGAGATACAAGCTAAATATGCAATGAAGTAAAGAATGTTGTTCAAAATCAAATAATCTTTACCTCTGTCCCACTACTTATAACTTCCTGTGTCTCAGAAGTCCAGAACATTTGAGAAACACAAAGTACAACCTGGCCAGGCCACTCTCTAACCCAGTCTCTTCTTGGAGATTCTGGATAAGCCTGAATAATTAAAAGTAATTTCTAATTTTAAAAGATTGCAGAAGAAAAGAAGCTAAATGTTTTATAATGTAAAATTCAATATTTAGTATATTTGTGGGTTATAATACCTTACATCCATGAAAAACTTTGGAAGATTAAAAGATGTGAAAATTTTTACAAACCAAGATTATATTTTTTACATGTTTCTTTATTTATAGAAGAACTAAAAATGAGCATCAGTATGTTAGTAATGGGTTATCTTCTTCTTGAAGTTTATTTCTATGTGATTTTTATGTTCCTTGCTATGGGAGCTGTCAAGTTTTTATAAAGAATACATATTACTTTTATTACAAACCAACTTAAACTGTAAAAAATAAAGTCAAATAGATTTTGTATAATGATGACATATTTAGTTGAAAAGATGACTATATAATCTAGTAGAAAACTGGACTAGAAGTTACAACCCTTATACTATTTATCTACAGCTTTTCTAAAAACTTCTATGACCAGAGTATATAAACAATTTGTTTGATTATATATAATTGAAAAAATCTGTGCTTTGGTGTTCAAAGTGTATACTTTCATTTATTTCTAAAGCTTTCATATTTAAAAGATATTTAAATAGATTTGTGGATTCATTATAAAAATAGTTTACTTTGATAATAAATGATAATGCCGACATAAATTATATATTGAGAAAACCAAGTACAGATTGAATTTTGAAGTTGATGCTAATGGAAACTATGCTTTCAATACAATCATACCATCTTATATATAAGAATGTGTTTAACATAACACAGACTATAAATATACATTGTTACAAAATCCTTATTATTAGCAATCTTTGTAAACAAATGACAATAACCTAAGGCTTTAAAGAAGGATGAGCAGTGATATTAAAGCATATTTTCTATAGTGATTAAGGAAATACTATCGTGGATAATGTTTATTCTTTCTTGTGTGTTTTAAGTTTGTTTGGAATTATAAGTAGCGAAAGGAGAGAAAAAGTACAGCTTTATCTGCAAGAACAGAAAAGCTACCCCAAAAGAATGAGCTGAATGCGTTCTTGATAAAATAAAAAGGCTACTTCATTCATGCAGAGAATTGCTGATATAAGTCTATAAGGGCTTCAAAAACTATTTCTTGTACAATATAATTGCTCCTTTGTGTTCCTAAGGCAGAAACACATTGAAGTTTATCATTCAAGATTATCATTAAGTGGGGTACATGTACTACCTAGGTGTTGTATTTCTTTCCAATTTATTATGTATCCTCCTTCGATGTTTGTTCGTCTCATTTGGAATTTTAAAGTAGTTGTAAGTGTAAAAAACAGCAAGTGAACTAGATCATTCACTTAACTATTTGAGGAGAACTAACCTACAGGGCAGCCAAGCACTGAAGGGCATGATGGTTTGCCTACAAGACATATACACAAGGCTACCTTATAAGCATTTCAATTAAACACGTCTCAAATTAAACCCATGATTTTTCTCCCAAGCTTCCACAAGCCTGCTTCTCTTCCAGGCATCTCCACAGAGTAAATGCCACCCATATACTCAAATCAGAAAACTTAATGCTAATTCTTGAGACTTGCCCCTCCTCATCTTTCTACTCTACAACCAATTCATCACCAAGACCTGTTGAAATTAACTACAAATTATGTTTCTGTCTACTTTGCTCCACATCTTTTGCTACTTCCCTAGTACCAGCCCATATCACTTTTCATCTGGTGTCTCCCAATTTGCCTTCCTATTTTCATACACCAACTAATTCATTCTTTATACCACAGCCATAGTGGTGTAAAAATATAAATCAGACTATATCCCTTCTCTGATTAAAATATCTTTAGCCTTTCATAGTATTTAAAATAAAATGCAATCTAGTAACTGTGTTCCTTTCCAACCTCATCTGACTTCACTCTGTACTCACTCTATTCCAGACACAGTTGTCTTCTTTGAGGTTCTCACAAATCCCTGCTTCTTTTTGATCCCAGGGCCTTTACCCAGGACACCTACACACTCTTCCACTTGCTTTTCACCTGGTTATTCCCTATTTATCATTTGTGTCCCAGTTTCAACCTCAGTTTCTCTAAGAGCCTATCAGTGGACCCTCCCCCATTCTATATAAAAATACCTTTTATTATTTTCTAATATCATTTTGTAATATTTAGACACATATTATCAATTCTAACTAATATTGTTATTTTAATGTTAGTTACAAATAAATAAAATAATAAATGGTTTAAAACAGAAAGAACTTTAAGTATTAATTTATTGGTACCAACTCAAACCTTCTAAACAGCATTTGCAGAATATAGTTTTATACATTAAGTCCTAAGAAACATACCAGCCTGGCTGCAGCAATCACATCATGAATACTTCGAAGCATTAGATCTTCTACTTGAATGAGCCACTTTTCTACAGCACCGCGGGCTATAGATGTGGAAATGAGTTCAATAAGCTCCACTCGCTCACCTTCAGAGCTATACATGGCCTTAATGTCCAAATTGGGAAGGAACTCCAATTTAGCAATGCCCTCAAAGCATTTTTTTAAGTGAGGCTGAACTCTAAGTGGATCTTTGGTTTCTGACAAAATCTCCAACATTTCATCATTAGATAAGAAAAAAAAACTAAAAAAAAAAAAAACATGCAAATACAAAAACTTTAGTGATATTCATCAATATCAGATAACACTTTAAATCATAGCACTTTTGATTATCCATCATACCGAGGGAAGAAAAGACGTTTCTTTTCAAGATATGCATTAAGTCCTTTCATAATTTTATCCAAAAGTTCATTGCAGTTTTGTAGTTTTTCCAATAAACCTGTTAAAGAAGTAGCAGCAAGAACCTAAAAGAGACATGTTGGTGTAAGAGACACTTGTGTACTAGATATAAGACCTAAACAATCTATACTATATGATAAAATATTATAATTTCAAAAAGTTTACACAGTGAATTTTTTTAATTTTTAAAAATTCTAATTAGTTATATTTGACAATAGAATGAATTTTGACACACTGTACATAAATGGAGCATAACTTCTCATTCCTCTGGCTGTACATGGTGCTGAGTCACACCAGTAGTGTAATCATAAATGTATATAGGGTAATAATGTCTATCTCATTTTACTATCCTTCTCACTCCCACCCCTCCTCTCACTCCCCTCTGCACAATCCAGAGTTCTATCATTCTTCCCTACCTGACTCCTCACTATGCCCTGCTTATCAGAGATAACATTCTGCCTTTGGTTTGTGGGGATTGATTTATTTCACTTAGCATGATATTCTCTAGTTCTATTCATTTACTTGCAAATGCCATAATTTCATTCTTCTTTAAGGCTGAGTAATATTCTACTGTGTATATGTACCACATTTCCTTTATCCATTCATCTGTTGAAAAGCATCTAATTCACAATAGCTAAACTATGTTGGTTCCATAGTTTAGCTATTGTGAATTGAGCTACTATAAATATTGATGTGGCTGTGATACTGTAGTATGCTGATTTTAAATCCTTTGAGTATAAATTGAGGAGTGGGATAACTATGTCAAATGTTGGTTTCACTCCAAGTTTTCTGAGGAATCTCCATACTGCTTTCCATAGTGGTTGTACCAATTTATAGTCCCACCAGCAATATATGAGTGTACCTTTTCCCCACATCCTTGCCAACATAAATTATTGCTTATATTCTTGGTAATTGCCATTCTGATTAGAGTGAGACAAAATCTTAGAGTTGTTTTGATTTGTATTTCTCTAATTGCTAGAGATGAATTTTTATATATATTTGTTAATCAATTTCATTTCTTCTTCTGTGAAGTGTCTGTTCATTTCCTTAGCCCATTTATTGATTGGATTATTTGTGGGGGGGTTTTTTTGGTGTTAAGTTTTTTGAGTTCTTCATATATCCTGGAGATTAGTACTTTATATGAGGTGCATGTGGTAAAGATTTTTTTCCCATTCTGTAGGCTCTCTCATCATGTTGTTGTTTCCTTTGCTGAAAAGAAACTTTTTAGATTGAATCCATCCCATTTATTGATTCTTGTTTTTCTTCTTCCACATTAGAAGTCTTGTTAAGGAAGCTGGGGTCTAAGCCAACATGATGAAGATTTGGGCCTACTTTTTCTTCTATTAGGCACAGAGTCTCTGTTCTAATGCCTAAGTCTCTGATCCACTTTGAGTTGATTTTTGTGCAGGGTGAGAGACAGAGGTTTAATTTCATTTTGGTGCATATAGATTCCAGTTTTCCCAGCACCATTTGTTGAATAGGCTATTTTTCCCCCAATGTATGTTTTTGGCATCTTTATCTACTATGAAAAAACAATATTTATGCCTCCGTGTCTTCTCTTTTGTACCACTGGTCTACATGTCTGTTTTGGTACCAATACCAGGCAGTTTTTGTTACTATTGCTCTGTAGTATAGTTTGAGGTCTGGTATTGTGATGCCTCCTGCTTCACTCTTCTTGCTAAGTATTGCTTTGGTTATTCTGGGTCTTTTATTTTTCCAAATGAATTTCATGATTGCTCTATTAGAGAAAGCAACAGAACTAGAAAGTTCTATGAAGAATATCTTTGGGATTTTAATAGGAATTGCATTAAATCTGTATAACAGTTCTGGTCGTATGGCTATTTTGACAACATTATCTCTGCCTATCCAAGAACAAGGGATATCTTTCCATCTTTAAGGTCTTCCTCAATTTCTTTCTTTTTTAAAAAAAAAATTTATTTTAGTTGTGGTCGGACGCAATATCTTTATTTTATTTTTATGTGGTGCTGAGGATTGAACCCAGGGCCCCACGCATGTTAGAGGAGTGCTCTACCAATGAGCCAAAACTCCAACTCCTCAATTTCTTTCTTTAGTGTTCTAGGTTTTCATTATAGAGGTCTTTCATCCTTTTGTTACATTGATTCCCAGGTATTTTTTTGAGACTATTGTGAATGGGGTGATCTTTCTAATTCATTTGCAGTGGATTTATCACTTATGTATAGAAATGCATTTGATTTATGAGAATTGATTTTATATCCTGCTACTTTGCTGAATTCATTTACTAATTATAAAAGTTTTCTGGTGAAATTTTTTTGGATCTTCTAAATATATGTAGTCAGAAACAGTGATAGTTTGAGTTCTTCATTTCCCATTCGTATCCTTTTAATTTCTTTGGTCTGTCTGATTGCTCTAGCTAGAGTTTCAAGAACTATGTTGAATGGAAGTGGTGAAAGAGGGCATCCCTATCTTTCCAGTTTTTAGAGGAAATGCTTTCAATTTTCCTCCATTTAGAATGATGTTGGCCCTGGGCTTAGTATAGATAGCTTTTACAATGTTGAGGTATGATCCTACTATCCCTAGTTTTTCTAGTGTTTTGAATATGAAAGGGTCCTGTATTTTGTCAAATGCTTTCTCTGCATCTATTGAGATAATAATGCAATTCTTCTCTTTAAGTCTATTGATATGATGGATTACATTTATTGATTTCCATATGTTGAAACAACTTTGCATCCCTGGGATGAAACTCACTTGACTGTAGTGCACTATCTTTTTAATATGTTTTGTATGGGATTTGCCAGAATTTTATTGAGAATTTTTGCTTCTACGTTCATCAGGGATATTGGTCTGAAGTTTTCTTTCCTTGATGTGTCTTTGTCTGGTATCAGGGTGATACTAGCCTCATAGAATGAGTTTGGAAAGGTTCCCTCCTTTTCTAATTCATTGAATTACTTTGAGGAATACTGATATTAATTCTTCTTTGACAATCTTGTAGAACTCAGCTGAGTATCCATCTGGTCCTCGGCTTTTCTTTTAGATAGTAGGCTTTTAATGGTGTCTCCTATTTCACTGCTTGAATTGGTCTATTTAAATTGTGTATGTCATCCCGATTCAATTTGGGTAGATCATATGTCTCTAGAAATTTGTTGATGTCTTTGAGATTTTCTATTTTATTGGAGTATAAATTTTCAAAATAGTTTTTAATTATCTTCTGTATTTTAGTAGTGTCCATTATAGTATTTCCTTTTCCATCACAAATTTTAGTAATTTGTGTTTTCTTTTTGTTAGTATAGCTAAGGGTTTATCAATTTTATTTATTTTTTTCAAAGAACCAACTTTTTGTTTTATCAATTTTTTGAGTTGTTTCTTTTGTTTCAATTTCATTGATTTCAGCTCTGATTTTAATTATTTCCTGTCCCCTACTGCTTTTGGTGTTGATTTGTTCTGCTTTTTCTAGGGATATGAGATGTAATGTTAGGTCATTTATTTGTTGGATTTTTATTCTTTTAATGAGTGAACTCAATGCAATAAGCTTTCCTCTTAGCACTGCCTTCATAGTGTCCCAGAGATTTTGATATGTTGTACAGGTATTCTCATTTACCTCTAAGTATTTTTTATTTCCTCCCTGATTTCTTCTGCTATACATTCATCATTCAATAGCATGCTATTTAGTCTCAGGTGTTAGAGTGTCTTCTATTTTTTATTTTATTGTTGATCTCTAGTTTCATTCCATTATGATCTGATAGAATGCACGGTAGGATTTCTATTTTTTGTATTTGCTGAGTTGCTTTGTGGCATAAGATATGGTCTATTTTAGAGAAGAATCCATGTGCTGCTGAGAAGAAAATGTATTCGCTCAATGATGGATGAAATACTTTATATGTCTGTTAAGTCTAAGTCATTGATTGTATTATTGAGTTCTAGTTTCTTTGTGTAGTTTTTGTTTGGAAGATCTATCCAATGGTGAGAAAGGTTAAAGTTAGCCAGTATAATTGTATTGTATTCTATTTGATTCTTGAAATTAAGAAGGGTTTGTTTGATGTATGTAGATGCTCCATTGTTTGGGGCATATATATTTAGAATTGTTATGTCTTGTTCACATATGATTCCCTTAACCAGTATGAAATGTCCTTCTTTATCATTCTAATTTTGGCTTGAAGTCCACTTTATCTGATATGATAGAAACTCCTACTTGTTTACACAGTTCATGTGATACACTTTTTCCCAACCTTTCACATTCAGTCCGATATTTCCTTGAAGGCACGTCTCTTGAAGACAGCATATTGTTGGGTCTTTTTTTTAAATCCAATTGCCAGTCTATGTCTTTTTATTGATGAGTTTAGGCCATTGACATTCAGGGTTATTACTGAGATATAATTTGTATTCCTGGTCATGGGGTTTATTTTTTATTTTTAACTTGACTTGGTTTCTCCTTTGATTGTCCTTTCCTTTAGTGGTAGTTCCTCCCTTTGGTTTTCATTGTTTTTATTTTCTTTTTCATTTCCTTCTCATAGAGTATTTTGCTGAGTATGTTCTGTAGTGTAGGCTTTCTAGCTGTGAATTCTTTTAATTTTTGTTTATCATGGAAGTTTTTTATTTTGTCATCAAATCTGAAGCTTAATTTTGCTAGATATACAATTCTCAATTGGCATCCATTTTCTTTCAGAGCTCAATATATGTTATTCCAAGACCTCATGGCTTTCAGAGTTTGGGTTGAGAAATCAGCTGAAATCCGAATTGGTTTTCCCATGTGTTATACGACTTTTTTTCTCTCGAAGCCTTTAAAATTCTATATGTTAGACATTCCCATTATAATGTGCCTTGGTGTGGGTCTGTTGTAATTTTATACATTTGGGGTCCTGTAAGTCCTATAAGCCTCTTGTAGTTGATTTTCCATTTCATTCTTTAGGTTAGGGAAATTTTCTGATACTATGTCATTTGAAAAGATTGTGCATTCTTTTGGTTTGTATCTCCACGCCTTCCTCTATTTCGGCAAATCTTAAATTTGGCCTTTTCATGTTATCCCATATTTCTTGGAAATCCTGTTCATATTTTTTACCATCTTCTCTGTGAGGCTGATTTTATTTGCAAGAGTATATATTTTGTCTTCATTGCCTGAGATTTTGTCTTCTAAGTAGTCTAGTCTGCTGATATCTCCCATTGAATTTTTATTTTAGTTTATTGTTTCCTTCATTCCAAGGATTTCTGCTTGATTCCTTTTTATAATCTCTGTCTCTTTACTGAAGTGATCATTCACTTCCTGTATTTTCTCTCAGATACCATCCCTTATTTCAAAGATTAGTCTTAACTATGAAACTTCTAAACTCTTTCTCTGACATTTCTTCTATTATGTTGTCTATGGATTCTGTTGTTGGAACATTTTGGTTTGTTTGAGGCACTTTGTTCCCTTGTTTTTTCATGTTGTTTGTGTGTTTTCCCATCTAGCGGTATGGATCTGAGGCAATACGGTTTCTTAACTGTAGTCTTATAGTGTCCCTGAAGGTTTCCAGTACCTTACCTGTGGGTACTGTGACAATGGATTTTCAGGGAACAGCGGGCAGCAGGCAATCCCCTGGTAGTCTGTGGGCAATTTGCAGGCTAACAGCAGGCAATCGGCAGGTGGACATTAAGCAGTAGGCAATGGGTAGGTGAAAGGCAAGCAATAGGCAGGCAAGAGGTGGGCAAACAGGCAAATGGTGGATGATAGGGGGCAGTCAGCAAGTGATTTGCACTCAAAAAGCAGATGATATGCTGGCAGGCAGTGGGCAATCACAGTGGACAAATGGCAGGTAAAAAGCAGAAGGTTGGTGGGCAGTGATAGCTGCCTCTCAGAGAAACATTATTTCCTCTGCTTGAATCCTGAGACACAGAGTAACAAGGAATATAGCCTTCCTGTAGCTTGCCATCTTGTATCTCTTCAGTGAAATGTTTTGTAATATAAAAACTATTAAAATTCAATAGATCATAATTATTCTTATCAAAGGATATTAATTACAAATGAGAAGTTATGATTCTCATGCATATTTTCACTTCACCTACATTCTTTTGAATGCTGTAGAAAGAGTATATTTTAATTTTTACTTTTACAGCCTTCAACTATAAACATGATTTACCACAGGAATTGATAAACTATATCCCACTAGCCAAATTTAACTTGATGCGAGTTTTATATGGTTCATGAATTAAGAATTATTCTTATACTTTTAGAAGGTTAAAAAAATCAGAAGATTTTGTCATGATATATAAAAATATCAGTGTCCATAGCAAAGTTTTATTTTATCACAGACAACCCATTCATTTACATATTATTTCTGGCCATTCTCTCACTATAATGACAGCAGAATTGAGTCACTGCAAAAATGACCATATATCTCACAATGCTTAAAATCAACAGGTAAAACAAAGTTTCTGAAACTTATAAATTTCAGTATACTATTGACTCTCAATAAGTCTAGAAGTGAAATAAATTGTTATGTAAGTTGAATACCAGATTTAAAAATAAATGTATATCTATGGTCTGTGGTTACTATGTGTCTGAAAAATAGTCTGTTTTCAGTATTAAAAATAGACACAAGGTATTAACTCACTAGGAAAGATACATATGAATTGAGACCAACTGAGCAGATTCTTTTTTCTCCATCATTTTTGAGCATACAGAGAATCACCTTTACCAATCAACTATTCTTTACTGACTTCTCCATTTTATTTACCTATTTATTTTGTTAGGAGAGAAATGGTGATTTTATATAGTCAAGTAAATTAAATGTCCATTTGAAGCAGCTCCACTAAATAGTAAAGAGCTATAAGTTAGTGTATTTTATGAATTGAAAAGTTAAATTACTAATACTTTCATACATTTTTACATTTTCTGAACTAATTTGTATATACTGCATAGGATTTACTTCTGTAATCAGAAAAAAAGTTAATGCTTTCTTTAATATCCAAAAATAAAGGTTCAGGGATGCATATGTGACTCAGTGGTAGATTGCTGGCCTACTATGCTTGAGGCCCTTGGTTCAATCCCCAATACTAAAAAATAAATAAATAAACAAAGAAAAGAAGGAAAGATTGGTTCACCTATTATAAGAATGAAAACAAATACTTCACCTTTGGATCTTTTGCACAAAATTTCATAATATCCCTCCAATGTCTGTCTACTGTCTGAAACTGACGTCCTTCTTCTGGCATCTGTTGCATGATATCCTCAGAACAAAAGATAGGCTCCAGATACAGCCATTGAGCTTGTACTTTTAACCATTCATCAATTGTTTCTTGTATTCGGATCAGACGGTCCTCCCAAGCCTTAATGAAAAGCATACTGTACTAAATTCCAGTTACTAAAGAAATGCTCTAGATTATAAGACAATTTTTTTTAAAATTTAATGTTTTTTTAATCAATGCAAAATAGTTTACAACTAAAGATTGCTATGGGTATCTTACATAGGCTTAGAAAAACCCTAGGAAGCTTGAGGGTTTTTTCTAAAGCATTGAAACTCACATTTGGAAATGAGTATAAAGTTATTAAACCAGTTTCCTAACCTTTAGAAAAACTCCAAGTCCAAAAAGGATGTAACCTGCTCTATATTAGTGATTGTCAATCATAATCCATTTGTCTTCCACACCAGGGAATATTTGACAATGTCTAAAAAAAATTTCAGTTGTCACAAATGACAGGGAAAAGATGGTAGTAATATATAGTGGGCAGAGGCCAGAAATAATGTTAAATGTCCTACAACACACAGGCCATAACAAAGAATTATTACTCAGCCCAAAATATCAACAGCACCAGGGTGAGGAATCCTGCTCTACATCAACACAATTTGGAGAGAAATGAAATGACATTGAAAAAAAGGTAAAATAAATTTCCTTCATCTCATAGGTTGCTTATACTTAACAAGTTATTTCATTAATTGAAAATAATTCATATAACTCTTTTTAGTTCTTAAAGTATGACCTAAAGTCCTATATGTCAAGAAATTAGGCCTCATCTCTCTCTTTAAAAAAAAAAATTCTAGCAGAACTTTTAAATGTCTTCTAAATTCCCCTTGTTAGACAAATAAGAACTTTCCACACTGAGGATACAGCTCAGGGGTAGGAGTCCCTGGATTCAATCCCTAGTACTGCAAAAAAATAAAAATAAAAATAAAAACAGAAAATAATAATAATTTTCCACAAAAGACATGCTATCTAATCATGAAAGGCTATATGAATCTGATTCATGGGAAAATACCCAAATTTATGTCCTCTGAGAAGACCACTACTTTGTTGTTTCCAGATAATGGCCAAGATCTACAAAACACTATGATGTTCAAATTAAATATTACGTATTGTAAACATACTTCAAAACATCAATGTACCACAAAGTTATTATTTTTCAATTAAAATAAAATCAACTGTAATCCCAATGGCTTGGGAGGATGAGGCTGAGGTTCAAACCCAACCTCAGCAACTTATCAAGGCTATAAGCAACTCAACCAGATCCTGCCACTCATAAAATATAATAAAGGGTTGAGGATGTTGCACAGTGGTTAAGCACCCCTGGGTTCAATCCTTGGTATCAAAAATAAATAGATAAATAAATAAATAAAAGTTATTGCTGGTAAAAAACACAATAGAGGCCTGGGGTTGTGGCTTGTGGTAAGCGCTTACCTAACATGTGAAGCACCGGATTCAATCTTCAGCATCAGATACAATTAAATAAATAAAATACAGGTATTGTGTCCATTTACAACTAAAAAAATTTTTAAAAAAACATAAAAAATTGCTTCGGTTTGAATCACTCTGTCATTTATTATCTAAGTGAATGTAGACAAATTATCTAACCTTCTATTCCTTGGTTTCCTTCTCTACATATACAGATAACCAAAGTATCTACTTTAAAGGTCTGCTACATGAATTAAATTGGTTAATAAATGTAAATGTGCCAAATCAATATATGGCACACAGATTTGAAATATTTAAGAAATGAACAGAGGTGGGGCTGTGGTTGTAGCTTAGTTGTAGAGCACTTGCCAAATGTGTTAGGCACTGGTTCAATCCTCATCACCACATAAAAATATATAAATAAAATTAAGATATTGTGCTCATCTAAAACTAAAAAAAATTTTAAAATACATTACCTCTTTAAAAAATGAACAGAGGATAGGCAGGAGGTAGGTAGAAGATGATAACTATAAAGGAGAAGGAGTTTTTTAAAAGTACTAAAAAACAAAAGAGAGGAAGAAGAAACAGGAAAATTGGATACTATTGGGGCAAGACAGCAAATAAGGGGCAATATGAGGGACAAAAACTAAGATATGAACAAACAAATGTCAGATCAAAACAACTCAAATTTGGAGCTGGGGTTGTGGCTCAATAACTGTAGCACGTGTGGGGTACTGTGGTCGATTCTCAGCACCGCATATACATAAATGAATAAAATAAAGGTCTATCAACATCTAAAAACAAAATTTTAAAAAAGCTCAAATCCACATATAATTATACCCCATCTAAGTCAAACCAAGGCTAAATCATAAGCAGGTGAAGAAGAAAGCAATTAAAATGAAAGTACAATTATAGGTGTGTGTGTGTACAAATATATACACATAAAATATACATTGTACATACCTACACTCCCTTTCCACATAATCTTGCAGGATGGAAAAATGTAAGATAAAATATAATTATACTGATTAATTTCAATATATAGAAGAATAAAACTTCATCCCTATCTCTTACGCTGCACAAAGTCAAATCAAAGTGAATTAAAGTCTTAGGAATTAGACCATAAACTTTGCAATTGCTAGGAAAAAGAAAACATAGGACCAACACTCCATCATATTGGTGCAAGTACTAACTTCCTCAAACAAGAGCCCTAAAGCTCAAGTAATAAAACCAAGAATCAGTAAGTGGAATGTGAAGGAAAAAAGAGCATGAAGAGAGAGACAACAGAATGGGGGGAAATCTTTGCCTACTATTCCTCTGACGGGAGATCAACATCCAGCATATATAAAGAACTCAAAAAACTTAACACCAAAACACAAATAACCTAATAAATGGGCAAAATAACTAAACAGACATTTCTCAAAAGAAGAAACACAAATGACAAATATACAAAAAAAAGTTCAACTCCTCTAGCAATCAGGAAAATGCAAATCAAAACCACACTAATATTTCATCTCTCTCCACTCAGAATTGCAATGATCAAGAATACAAATAATAATAAATGTTGGTGAAGAGGCTGGGGTTGTGGCTCAGTGGTAAAGCACTCACCTCTCACGTATGAGGCACTGGGTTTGATCCTCAGCACCACATATAAATAAATAAAATAAAGGTATTATGTCCTTCTATAAACAAAAAAAAATTTTTTTAAATGTTGGTGAGGATGTGGGCAGAAAGGTACACTCATACATTGTTGGTGGGACTGTAAGTTAGTACAACTACTCCAGAAAGCATTATGGAGATGCCTCAAAAAATTAAGAATGGGGGCTGGGATTGTGGCTCAGTGGTAGAACGCTTGCCTAGCATGTGAGAGGCCCTGGGTTCATTCCCCAGCACCAAAATAAGTAAAGGTTAAAAAAATTAAGAATGGAACCACTATAAGACCCAGCTGTCCCATTCCTTGGTATTTATAAAAAAGAGCTAAAATCAGCATCCTGATTTTAAAATCAGCATACAGCATAGTGATATGGTCACTTCAATGATTATAGCACCACAATTCACAATAATCAAATTATGAAACCAACCCAGGCAACTCTCAGTAGATGAATGAATTAAGAGTTTTACTCAGCCATAAAGAATAAAATTATGACATTTGCTAGTAAATGGATAGAAATGGAAACCATTATGCTAAATTAAATAAGGCAGATTTAGAAAAATCAATAGTCAAATGTTTTCTCTCATAGGTGGAAGCTAGAACAAAATAAGGGGAAAATTTGTGGGGGTGGGTCAGGTGTTGGGAAGATCAGTGGAGAAGAAAAAGGAGATCAAGAGGGAGGTAGGAGGGACAGAAACCAGGAGGAAATGCAGAACGAATTGAATATTCAACAAATGGACTTGTTTACTTGACAGCACATATGTAATAAAATTGCATATGTAACATACCTTGATCTCTTTTTCAAATGGTTTGATAAAAGGTGAGCCTCTCATTGTCTGAGTTTTTATAATCTGATCATCAAGGATTGCCTGAATCTCATCCACTGAAGAAAGAATACAGACTCCAGTATCTCGATACAGACTTATATGAAAAGCAATATCATCCCAAGTTCCTATCATGTTATTCATGGCTTTCTCTAAGGAAAATTCCTAAAAGAGAGAAATAATGGTTTGGTGAAAAGAGGATCTTATTTACTATATTGCCTTTTCCCATGTGATTCAGTAAGCAACTTGCTGCATTACACTAGCATTTTCTGTAATGTAATAATTTTTTGTTAGAAAGTTTTTTTTTAAATAATTCAAAAATTTGTCAGAAGAATGTAGCTTTAAAATTCACTTTTTGCTCTAAAAACTACTGCTGTCAGTATTTAAATGGAAAACAGAATAAAATACCTTCTGGAGTTTCTCTAACATAGTCTTTCTGTAGGCCAGGTCTGAAGATTCTCTGTGTATTTCAAGAACACTATCTCTATGGCCATTTATTTTACTAGGAAACATACACACACATACACACACACACACACACACATACACACACACACACACCTATGTTACACATGTACCTGCCCAGGATTCTTTTTATTAAAACCTGTGTTTTATTTGCTTATTTTTATGTGGTGCTGAGGATCAATCCCAGTGCTTCCCTCATACATACTAAGCAAGTGCTCTATCACTGAGCCACATCCCCAGCCCCTCCCCAGGATTCTTAATGGAATAATTATGTATCATTTATCAATGCAAACTTATTATCCAGCCAGATTAGAATGTGGATGAATCAGGAAGAGGTCAAAAAAGCCATTTCTAGTCTGTATTCAAGACAAGCAAGCACATGCTTTGTGCAGAAAAGAGAGTATTCTTTCATTTTTGCCCTCATCTCTATCCACTGCTATCCAGTACTAAACACATTCGATCACAACAAAGCTATGATTATGCAATTTACAAATTAATCAAAGTATTTCAGTTTATCTTGATATTTACCTTGCTTGCTCCTGCACTTATCACTTCAAATTTTTCCAAGTATGGTGTAAGGTTTAATTTCAAAATTTTTCTCAATGTGGTTCCAGAGTCTGGAGTCAAGTCATAGCCAACAATTTCTGACATCTGTTTCCAGTGACGAGCTCTCATTCCTGGATTGCATAGAATGGAGACAGTAGGAATATACTCCTAATGGTAAAAATATAAACAATAATGTCATTTGACTCCCATACACGTAGATTCTATAGACAGCCCTTAATAGTATGAAATATATATTTCTTCAAATTATTTAATCTATTTACAGGAATACAACTAAAGTCTCAATTACATTTTGAGGAAGAGGAAAACTAACAAAATGATTCTAAAGTTCATCAGATGAAATAAATACATTTTTACATTTAAAGATAAAAAATTTGTTTTAAAAGTTAACCTGAAAAATAAGCATGTAAAAATAGCCAAGAAAAGTATAAAAGTTATAAAGAATGAGAGGTAAATGTTCTATAAAAATGTATATGATAAGGGCGGGAGTTGTGGCTCAGCAGTAGAGCACTCACCTGGCATGTGTGAGGCCCTGGGTTTGATTCTCAGCACCATGTATAAATAAATGAATAAAATAAAGGGCCTTCACCAAAGAAAATTTTTAAAAAATGTATCTGATAAAAGTATACTAACTAAAGCAATAGCATTATTTTAGAAATTTTAAGTTGTTTTATATATATATACTATATGTAGAAACATATGTTACAATATTAAAATATAACACACACACACACACACGAAGGGGGAAAAAGCCTTATCAAAATGCCAAAATGTAGCAACGTTTTAATTTCTTCTGAGTGAGATCAAGAGTTTTTAAACATCATCTTACATTTTTCTGTATTATCTGCTTTTAAGTACTGCTTAAAATAATATAAACTTTAAAGTTTTTAAAATAAAAATAATATATTCAACAACACATTTGTCATTCTTGATATCAACAGAACATTTTTCTTAAAATCAGGTACAAAATAAGCATACCAATTGTTACTACTTCTAATCAACATGTATTCAGTGTTTCAGCCAGTCCAAAAATTTACGTAAATAAAAGATATGGGGATTAAAAACCAAAAACAAAAACATTATGCTTCACAGATTGCTGTCTATGTATAGTTTCTGGATATTAAATTAACATAAAGAAATTAAACAAAATTTCTACATACTAGTCACAGCTAAAAACATAAAAAGATCAATTTATAATAGTAATAACAAAATAAAGTATACTGGGATAATCAAATTAAAGCTCTGCAAAGCTATTTGGGAGAAACCATATAACTTTATTCAATAATGTTAATGAAAATCTAAATAATAAAGATAAATCTAATAAGATACAAATAAATCTAAATGATAGAGATTCACATAAGTGACAAAGGTCATTGTCCAGAATATGTTATAAAAATCCCAAATATTAACAATAAAAACAGAAACAACCAACCACACAAGTGGAGTCCAAAGGTATAATTGAGGATTTATGCAGAAGAAGAAGTATGAAAGTCAAATTGAATGTAAGTTCTATGGTGGTAGGAACTTTTGTTCTTTTTACTGGTATGTCTCAATGAAGCACACAGAATACTACCAGTTATATCACTGTCAACCAATAAGAATTTGTTTAATAAATAAAATTTGAAAGCTAAGTTACATTTTATTAGAAATCAGGGAAATATAAATTAAAACCATATTAACATAATTTTGTATTTACTAGAGTAGCAAAAAATCATGACATCTGATGATGTGAGAATATGGGACTGGTAGGAATTTAAACTGAGAAATAATTTGAAATTTTCTGACAAAACTGAACAACCATATATTTTAATATTCAGAAGTCTCACTACTAGGCATATGCCTTTCTTAGAAAAACTCTTGCCCATATACGCTAGGACACAAGACTATATAAGTTAACAGTATTATAGGTACATGAAAATGTGCTTAACATCTCTAATAAACAGGGAAACACAAATTAAAATTACAATGAGATCTCATCTGTGTTAACCAGCTTTCCATTACTGTGACAAAATGCCTAAGAAAACAAGTATTAATAATAGCAAAAAGGAAATATATCATATGACTATAAAGAGGAAAATAAATAAATTAAGTAAGAAATATTCTATAGTAGTTGAAAAGAAAGGAAATATAATTTTGAATTGAGTATGGTGATATATACCTGTATTCCCAGCTACTCAGGTGACTAAGGCAGGAGAATAGCAAGTTCAAGCCCACCTGGGCAACTCAAAAAGACTGCCTCAAAATAAAAAGAGTTGAGGATGAAGCTCAGTGGTAGAGTGCTTGCCTAATGTCTGTGAGGCTCTGAATTCAACCCCTCGTATATACTGGGAAAAAACACAGTGTTCCATTTTTTAAAAAATCAATTTATACAAAACTGCTTATGGATGGCATATTTATTAAATTCAAATTTGGGGCTGGGGCTGGGGCTCAGCAGTAGAGTGCTTGCATTGCACGTGTAAGGCCCTGGGTTCAATTCTCACACCATATAAAAATAAATAAACAAAATAAAGGTATTATGTCCATCTACAACTAAAATATATATATATATATATATATATATATATAAATTAAAATTTGATTAAAACAAAAAAGCAAAGGAATTTGAAACATAAAACTTATGATACATTTAACTCTAAGAGGAATTAAAGGGATAAAATAGGGAAGGAATCACAGAAGGAAAACAACAGTATTAGTAACCTGACTCTAAAGAAGAGGAAAGGATTCATGGGTGCTCATTTTCTTACTGTACTTCATAACTTAAACACATTAAATATATACTGTGTTAAGGGGCAAGGATAAGTAAGAAATGGTTCTTGCACATCAAGGAGAATAAAATATAGTGAGAAAAATAGATTTTGGACAACTACTCCAAAGGTGGTAGAACAAAGAAATCATTAAAAAAAATTAAAATAAGATATATAAGATAATACAAGTGTTGAGAAGAAAGAGTGCTTATTTGTCCCTCTTCCCAATCCAAAGCCTTAAAAATCACACTGTTATTCTGATCTACCTCCTTAAAATAAAATTCACCTTACCTGTTCTCCAAATGAAAAAAATTAATTGCTTCAGGCCCTATTTTTCTCACAGGATACTGATATCCTCTACTTAGGAATTTCTTTATTCTATGAATCAAACATTATTACCCTATGTACATATGTAACTATATTACCAGTGGGGTTCTACATTATGTATGACCAGAAAAAGAAGAAATTATACTCCATTATATATGACATATCACAGTGCATTATATTACTGTCTCATATAACTAAAACAAATTTAAAATTTTTTTTAATGATTTTTTTGTTCTACAACCTTTGCAGTAGTTGTCCAAAATCTATTTTTCTCACTATATTGTATTCTCCTTGATGTGCAAGAACCATTTCTTACTTATCCTTGCCCCTTAACACATAAAAAATACTCCTCTCAGTGATGGTCAAATATTTTCTGAATTTAATTTTATTTTATTTGTATCAATTCTGTACTGCAAACAATGTTCAATTTCACTAATGAAATTATTAGATATGGTCGAAAGTCAATTTGAGAGACCTGGCAAAAACTAAAAACAACAACAACAAAAAACCCATACTACATTATTAGACCTTATTTAATGTCAATATCCAAGCCAAGTTGGCAAAAGAATTAAAACCAAGAATCAACAAATGGGATGGATTCAAACTAAAAAGGTTTTTTCTCAGCAAAAGAAATAATCAGTGAGGTGAACAGGGAGCCTACATCCTGGGAGAAAATTTTTACCCCTCACACATCAGAAAGAGCACTAATCTCTAGGGTATATAAAGAACTCAACAAGCTAAGAACCAAAAAACCCAAATAATCCAATCATTAAATGGGCCAAGGACCCGAACAGACACTTCTCAGAAGAGGATATACAATCAATCAACAAATATATGAAAAAATGCTCACCATCTCTAGCAATCAGAGAAATGCAAATCAAAACTAATATATCATCTCACTCCAGTCAGAATGGCAGCTCTTATGAAGGCAAACAATAACAAGTGTTGGTGAGGATGTGGGGAAAAAGGTACACTCATATATTGCTGGTGGGACTGCAAATTGGTGCAGCCAATTTGGAAAGCAGAATAGAGATTCCTTAGAATACTGGGAATGGAACCACCATTTGACCCAGCTATTCCTCCTCTCAGACTATACCCAAAGGACTTAAAAACAGCATACTACAGGGACACAGCCACATCAATGTTTATAGCAGCACAATTCACAATAGCTAAACTGTGGAGCCAACTAGATGTCCTTCAGTGAATGAATGGGTAAAAAAAAAGTGGCATTTATACACAATGGAATATTACTCTGCACTAAAAAAGAACAAAATCATGGCATTTGCAGGTAAATGGATGATGTTGGAGAAGATAATACTAAGTGAAGTTAGCCAATCCCCAAAAAACAAATGCCAAATGTTTTCTCTATTATAAGGGGGGTGACTCATAGTGGGGTAGGGAGGGAGAGCATGGGAGGATTAGATTAAATCTAGATAGGGAAGAGGGGTGGGAGGGAAAGGGAGGAGGAAGGGGATTAGCAAGGATGGTGGAATGTGATGGTCATCATTATACAAAATACATGTATGAAGATTTGAATTTGGGGCCAAAATACCTTATATACAAACAGAGATATGAAAAATTGTGGTGTATATATATTATAATGCAAAAAAATCAAGTACATGTATAATGGCTATAATTGGCGTGAACATACTTTATATACAGAGATAGAAAAAATTGTGCTCTCTGTGTGTAAAAGGATTGTAATGCATTCCACTGTTGTCGTGTATTTAAATAAATAAGAAAATTTTAAACAATTTTGTTTTAAAAAATGAGAACTATATCTGGGTGCAGTGGCACACTCCTTTAATCTCAGTGACTTGGGAGGCTGAGACAGGAGAATTCCATTTGAGACCAGCCTTAAAAACTTAACAAGGCTGTAAGCAACTTAGTGAGACACTATTCTCAAAATGAAAAAATAAAAATGACTGCCTCAGTGGTTAAGTGCCTCTGAGTTCAATCTCTGATTGAAAGAGAGAGAGAACTATATCACTCCTCAGTATTTATCCTAAAGAATGAAAGTCATCATACTATAGTGATACAATTCACAGTAGCCAAACTATGGAACCATCCTAGGTGTCC